TGACATGCTAAAAGCTGAGATTCTCAGCTACTTTACTGAGCTCTTTTAAAATTTAATTACTACACAAAGAAATAAAGTTTTACTAAGATTTTCTAGGTTTTGGGAAGACAGCCAGGAAGTCAGGAAAATAAAGTAAAACATGGTAGGTCCTGCTCGTTTCAAGGACTTGTAAAGCAAAAATTTAAAATATACTAGTCTTGACTGACTTTGCAATAGCAGGTGTTGACTTTTATTGCATTAGGGGTTTCTGTTTAATGTCACTCTCAATTGACTGTGTTATTCTGCATTATTAAAAAATGAGAGCCTCGATACCGTGACACTGAGAAGTCAGAGCCATTAAGCAAGCTGGGGATTCAAAACACAGTGAAGTCAAGTGTGAAATATGAAGACTACTTCTCTTGACGGATGTGGAAGCGGACAGCAAAGTAATCAAGCAACAACAACAGCAAAATATAAATTTAAATACAAACCCTGGTGGGTTTATATGCTGTACCGCCAGTTGAGCTGATTGCTGACAGTGTATTGTGCTTTTCCACATTGTTAAAAAAACAGCTCACATAGAGGTAAAAACATAATTTGCTCTACTGAATTAAAAAGTTCACCTCCGATGTGCAGGTCTCTGCTCGGAAAGGGCTCGGCTCTGACAGCCGACTGTATTACTGGGTCAACAACCGTGGATGGAGCAGTCTAAATCCACCCGGCCTCATTTGCAAATTCTCAATTAAAGTGAAAGTGCATCCAGGTCAGCAGGCGTCTGAATGGATAACAAAGATCAACAGCCTGACTCTAATGATGAGGGCTCAGGGTATGCACACAGCTGAGACTCAGTGGGGAAGCTGCAGCACCAAGAAGCTGGCATGGGAAATGAGAGAAAGGTGCGATACTGTCAGGTCGAATCACTGCTTAATGAAGACAATAAATCAAGTCTTTAATAAAGAGCACAAATCAGCTTCTATTATGTGATATGAATTTTGCTTAAAAATATTAAAATCCTAAATCAATAAACCTCTTTAAGTTATCTTAAAAAATACAATGAATTAAAATGTATGTGAAAAATGCGTCAAAAATAATCTGTATGTCCAGCATCACAAATTCAAATTCGATTAGTGTTCAACGCAGCGATTGAGGTTATCTTCAATGTTAAAAATAGAAATGGTTGTTATTACAAGTATAAGTTCACATCACGGCAGCAGCCTGTGTTTAGGTTGCTATAGAAACCTCAGGTTCATACGATTACTTTTGGCTTTATATAAAGCTTCAAAACACGACTGAAATAAATCAGATGACTCTTTTTTTTTTCTTCTTTTTTTACCTATTCCACTTGTTGCGAAGAAAAAACTAAACTCCACTAACATAACTAGCATAAGCTAATGGTAACACATTTAAGAAATTAATTAAAAATAGAAAACATCACAAGGTATCTAGTGGATATACTGCAGAGTATAGATAAATATGTATGTGTGTATGGCATGAAGATGAACAATACAGGGCAACCACTGTCTATACTGGGTTAAAGGGTGACTAAAATGCTGGATTTAGATTAATGTGCCCTTTCAGAGATTCAGATAGCCAACAATAGAAAACTAAATGGATAAAACCTATCTGCATAAAGAAGCTCTGAGGTTAGCATATTCACTGGCCTGTCACAAGGTTTCTATCTACCATAATCTCATTTCAGAAATAGGATCTGTAACATTACTGGCTTCATCAGACTGCCACCATCACAGCGCTTTTGTCATGTGAATGTGTCACCTTTACGTTAATGATCCTCATAACCCTATACAGACATATCCATGACAGTAACAGAGCCACAGTAACCAGGCAATGTTTTTCATACACTCAAGAATACAGTGCCTTCAAAAGAGGAATATATAAGGTCTCAGTTTTCTTGCTAGTTTTGTAATTACTTAGAAAGAACTGTGATGAAGCTCGCAACCTGAGGAAGACTAAAGTATCTGCAGTTAGTCACAAACAGCAAATTATTTAACAGTAGGATATAAAGCATGATGGAGTTTTGTCAAATCCTGACTCTACAGTCTTTGTGGATGGATCTTCAGTGCAGTAAAGGTTTTACTTAAAAGTTGTTGTTTACAGATGTTTCAATTTGTAATAGGAAACTGTTAAATGAGGGAAAACTCAACATCTATTAAATGTGTTTTGTGATTTTGGAGAGGTCTAGTTTAAAGCAACTGAACTATGTCTTTTGTGCTTTCACTGCTGGTGCCAAAATGTGGAAAAGACATGTATTTTTTTTTTCCTTAAATGAGCTTTGAGACTTCCGCTTATCATTAGGGAGATTATCATGAGCATTATATATCTGATTCTACATCTGGCAGAGATTTATTTTGGCCTCATGGTAATGGTGTTTAGGGCTTTTGCAAAACCTGTCATGTTTGTGCGCTGAGTAACTCTTGAGTATCCACAGGAGACTAGGGTTTCACAATACTAGGATTTAAATGTTTCTGCTACTGTAAACATTACGCCCGCATCAACAGAATGAACCTTTTGGGACTAGGATTTAAACTTGACACGGATACCCAGGAAAATCCTTGACACCATTTTCAATACCACAGGGGAAAAAACCAAAAAGAATCAAGATGCACTTTTTTCAGTTACATAAATGAGAAAAATATTTGTCAAGCTCTCTGCCATAGTGAGAAACAAAACAAAAACTGTAAAATAACCATGCAACCAATTCTGGGTTGCGGGGAGGCAAGAGTATATCACACATTTTAAAAGAAATGATCAGGTAGTTCAGGAACTTTTTAATACTACAATGCTACATTTCTTTTTTAAATGGGACCTTAACTCACTTTTAAATTCCTCATAAAGTGTAGTTCAGTGGTATGAATCTCAACGATTGCTGAAGTGTTCAGCTGCTAGTGAGGGGAGGGGGCTGTGACAAGGATGGTCAAGGCCCACTTCCCCCTTGGAATGAAAAGTTCGTATAAATCAATACAAAGTTGTTTGGAGTGATCTGTCCTATGACATAACATTATCCTGATAAGCACGTTTTCATGACAATAAGCCTGAAAGTTGCCACTAAATCTTTGAAAATGATGTGAATCACATGGAATCAGCAGATCTCAAGCCAGATGCACATGTGAAAGTTTGGATCAATATGTTAAACAGCACTCGCTACACCAAGAAAGACTCAATCATTCATCATCTTTTGGAAAACAAGGAAGCTAGAGAGAATTGAATCAAGAATCAATACCATTGTGCACTGAAGCTTTGCTGGTGGCACATGGATGTCTTAGCACCTTACTAAGGCATTTGGTTAACACTAGAACTACTAAGCAGGTCATTCTGACCTCTTGGCATTTAAAAAATCATGTTAAATTAAAACCCCATCATCTCATATTTCATGACTTTTCCGAAAATTGGCTTATTTATCAAATATTAAATGTTAGCATGTGTGGGATCAGAAAAAAAAAATTATGAACACTTTTACCCAGAACTGCCGGGTATGTCATTTTGACCCCAAAGGAATTAATGTAAAACTACTACTGCTGCACGCCTGGTTGCCTAGCAACATTATTTTTTTTACACATAATTAGATTTGAAGGCTGCTATAACATGACCCAAAATTAGATAGATGTTATTGATAACTCTGCATGCCTTTCTTCATCAAATCCTAGAATCTTCTCTGTGGTCTTCATCATTTCCTCCTCTCTGGCAATTCAATATTCAATGTTTCAAAACCATCTCAACCTTGCCTCCAAAACACTCAACCTGTTCTAATATACCAATTTCTAATCCTGACTGTTCTGGTTGCTCTCACTGAAAGCCTTAACATCTTAAACTCTTCCAGGATCATTCATCACAGCAGGTCTCTAATTACTATCTTGCAAATTTTCCCTTTCACTCTATTCTCCTTCTTCTCTCTAGTGCACTGTCAGTTGCTTTATATGGTCGACATCAAGCATTTAAACACATCCACCTTCACTACCTCTGCTCCTTGCAGCTTCTTGTAACACTTGTCTCCCTCTCATTTACATATGTATTCTGTCTTGCATCTCCTGACTTTCATTTGTCTTCTCTCTAGAGGATACCTCCACCTCAGATAGACCACAACAATGTCTATGAATATACAGTCCACAGAGACTTAGCTCAACTGTCAGCCTATCCATCACCATTGCAAACAAAAAGGGGCTCCGAGGTGATGCCTGATGAACCCATCTGTCACTCCTATCACACACGTCTCCACTGCCTTGCTGTCCTCAAACATCTCCTGCACAACCCTAGAATACTTCTCTACACTCCTGACTTCCTCACAAAACACCACAGATCTTCTCATGTTATCCTATCATATGTTTTCTCTAGATCCACAAAGAAACAGTGCAACTCTTTCTGACCTTCTCTATACCTTTCCATCAACACCCTTAAAGCACATATTGCATTTGTAGTGCTCCTTCTCAGAATAAAGCCATACTGCTGCTCACTGAACTTTTCTAACATGTCTTTAACAACTCTTTCTCATATTTTCAAATTTTGGCTCCTCAGCCATTTGATTCCTCTGCACATCATTGTTCTTGAAAATCAACAGCAGTACACTTCTTCTCCACTCTTGAAACATCCTCTGACTCTCCAACTTTGTGTTAAATAGTCTGAATAAAAAGCTCACTGCCCTCTCTCCTAGACATCTCCATCCCTGCACAGATGTCTTACCTGGGCCAACCATCTTTTTACCACCTGATTCACTAACCTTCCTCCATCCATCCATCCATCCATCCATCTTTTCATTTTCATCATTCACGAGCTTCTCAATGTACTCCTTCTACCTTGACGCTCTCTTCACTCGTTGGTACATTTTAATATCCCTAATTTGCTGCACATCCTTTCCAGGTCGATCTTTCTGCCTAACAAAAGTCCTTTTCCCCAGAGGTCGTGTGGAATACGGGTATGGAAATCTTATTCTCGGTGAACATATATGATTGAATGTTTCTTTATTTGTTTGTGGTACTCTTTGTACATGTATGTGCATCCGGCTGACTCACCTGCGAGGTAAGGGGTCAGGACAGTGTGTGAGGGGGCTGCTGGCAGTCGGAGGAGGAGGTTCCCTTCGGCTCCTTAGCGACTGGCTCCTCTGCACCTGCCTCAGCACACTACTTTTTAGGTCCAGCAGCGTAGTCATGATGTTTCACTGCAGAGTGGAGACAGGAAGCACATGTTAAGACTCTGCAACTCGCTGCAACCCCTGAGAGTTAGTAATTTGCAGGCTCAACTCTGGGAAGGTTTGTCATAATACATTTGATTTTAGGTACAAGGCAATATTCATAAAACTACTTGTTTCTAGAAATACACTTGGTCTGAAGGCTTCTTTTAGTTTAATCAGCTGCATAATCACCCTATTTCACCTTTAACATAATTATCCTCTTCCTCAACACGAGCTGTGTTCTATTTCTGTCTGCACCTAACCGATGCTGCAGGGTATGCAATTTATCTTTCACCTTTATGTCTGGCCTGCTCAGAGCCAATTGAACCCTATTTTTTCTACTGCACTTTGTAAAAAAATATGCAAAACAAAAGAGACACAGAGTGGAAAAACAAGGCTGCATAAAAGTAATGGTCACAAAATATGTTTTATAATTAAAAGAACCATAAAATATGTGTTAAAAAAATAATGAGTTACGTAGAAACTAAATTTGGAAATGAATGTCTTAATTATAGACCTGGTCTTTGTGCGGATGTAATTTTATGCAATTCTACATCGTACTGCTAAAACAGTTCAGATTCCTTGAGGCGCAGACTCCGCTTGATCTTCTAGCGTGTCAGGAAACCAGACATGAGTAAGAGGTAGAGCGTCTGTGGACTGGACTGAGTTTCCACTTTACTGGTATCTGGTATCTGGGTTACAATAATTTTAGGTAAGTGGTAGTTGACAGTGTAATATCTGCATGAATGCCAGGAACAAGGATTTCTTAGTAGAACTTTAGCCAGATCATCACACCATGTTCACACTACAATATGAGCCAGACTTAGCTTTTCACAGGCATCAGTGAGCTATGGCCATCCCAAAACCTATAATGGGCTTAGTATGTGTCCTTCTTGGGAATTAGTAGGTACTTATTAGGTACTAACCACTGCATATCACAAAACCGGCTGCTTTGACCCTGCTGCTTGCTGTTATAATTTGCTCTTTTGCTAAGTCATCCACATTTTTCCTGCTTCCAGTACATCAAGTACAGACTGTTCACTTTGTTCTAGACTAGGATTGTACTCGCTTGCAGACACTAACACCGACAGCTATGCACACGTTAACCAAGTATTTGTTCCTGTTATACATTTTAGAAGTCAGTGTCTGCACAGGCTGTCACAATAATTCAGCAGGCGCACATAAATTAGCATGGAGCCATGATTTTGACAAATATATAACACATAGACCTGAGCAGACTTTCTCTTACATACAATACTTATGTATCCCGCTCCTTATCAACTGCTATTGTATCAACATAATCAGTGTTATTCACTTCCTTTTAATTTGCTGCTAATCTGTCTAGCATGTATTAACCCTGCCTGCAGTGACTGGGGAAGACATCTTGCATAATCAAAACCAGTTTACATGAAAGCAGTAAATACTGATGTAATCGTAATTATTCAAGTTCTCATACCTGACCATTTTCAAAGAATTGATTTGTTTTTGTTTGTTTGTTTGTTTGTTTGTTTAAGCCACTTAATGTTGACTTAAAATAGACAAATCAGACAACTTAAAAAAATTCTTTTAAATTCCTTTAGGCACGTTATTACTAGGTGCCTAATGCAAAAGTATAATTTGTTCTGAGGTATGCCAAATTACACAAGAACTTATGAGATCTTATGGAGGGATGAGTGCAAATTTGAACTCTTTAGTTCAAATGGTAAGCAGTATGTGCATGATCCACCCGGCAATACCTGATTTGATTGGCAACATATTCATTTTTCAACTTAACAATAATCCCAAACATACTGCCAGTGCAGTAAACGGAAAGAAAAACACACAATGGAACACTATTGGTCAATAAATCTCTTAATAAATAAAGATTATATTCCCAATTTTCCTTGCAAAATATAGTCAAATAATGGGTGGCTGATGTAGCTATGATGTAGCTGCATTTTAGGGGATTCAGCATTGTGTGATGAATGGGAATTTTAACATCTTGAGATTTTGCAACTTTTGCACATGATTGTTTTGCATTTCTTGGCAATTAACGTTATTGTTTTGTCGCTTAAATTTGATTAATAAGATTGATAGCAAGTGTTGCGTGTCTCAGTAAATAAGATGCTGGCAGCTTCAGCTGCTCTTCTTGGCTTAGCTCACAGACTGATAACTGAACTGGCTGCCTTTACCCTCTGTTTTATGTACATTACACAAAACAGATATTACAGAATGTGGTGACTAATGATAGGTGGATTTTGAGAAATCAGAGATTGGCAATTCCCTATAGGTTGGAGCTCAGAAGACTACCAGCTGCTTTCTGTAGTTTTATATTCATTTTTGGGACAAGTGCTATCAGTCCTCTCATTTGTCTTTTGGCTAGAAAGTCAGGATCACAATTAAAATTCTTTATTAATTCCATCTGGGTAAAAAACAAAACAAAACAAAATCCACTAAAGGAACTTAGTGATCTCAAACTGACCTTGGTCATTCAATTATTCTGGATGATGAATGTTTTAACTCGTAAATGACCGATTTGTAACAGCATTAACTAGACTTATTGAACTAAGGAGCCATTCATCAAGCTATGCCACACACACTACTGAAGCATTCAATGAGTGGACAGCTGAGCTACACAGGATGAAACCAGGTTGACTGTTATCTTTGCAAACAATAACTAAGAGTCGTTTGCATATAATACATTTAATTAAACAAGATTATGTCCAATAGTTAATTTCTTATATAGTTATTTCATAACATGACAGGGGTTTTTTTTCAACAAATTCAAAAATGGCATCTGAGCATATATAAAGAAAGCTATCCTTGGGCTGTCATGAGTATGAAATATGAATTTAGAAATCTGAGCCTATGCAACATCCTGAAAGAGATTGGCACTGTGTTGCTAAGCGATTGTCTGAGACTGAGTAGTTCTCTCTCAAAGCCAATTGCCATAAAGGCTTCATAGTGACTTTCAAGTGTAACTAAATTATATGTCCTAATAACAATATCATATACTGTCACAGCTCCGTGCAGAGCCAAACAATCAAACAAATTCTTCTGGATGGAAATATTAAAATAAGCTGCACATGCTGTCATTTTCACCATGTAAAGGAAAAAACACAAATATGTGAAGGAACCACAATATAAAGCTTAAAATATCAAGAATATCAAAAGTCAGCTGTGGTTAGCCTATAACCACAGTTTGCACCAAAACTATGGCACACAAAAAAGATTTTTTTTAAGGTTCAGTATTTTTGTCTTAGTCAAGCAAAGAACTTCATTATGTATGTCGGAAGCACGTGCTGTTTATTAGGACTTAATCTACAAATGCTTGCAATTTAATATTAAAGTTAGGGTGTGGATGATTAAACATGTTTTATTTTTAATTGTGATTCTAGGCTCTAGTGGTTATTTAAAAACGCAATCACGATACGATGATTATCCTGCTGTATTTCATTTCCTGTCTTGTTTTGTAGTGTGATATCAGACGAACGGTTAACTCTTTTCACTCCATTTCCAGTCTTCAGTTTCACACACACTCTAACCAATTTCAACCTCGCTGACCAATTTCTAAAGGCAAAATCTAACATCATATCAATTTGTTACTGATCCATAATAGGGGTACTGGAAAAATATCAATAGAGCATAATTTTGTGATATTTTCCATGGTGATATTATTTTCATACAAGGACACTAAATATCTATATTTTATAAAATAAATTTAAATACTAAGAAAAAGAAGGCTCATCTCAGACACCACTATCGTGAGATTACGTTAGCGAATTGACCTGGCCCAAAAAACCAAACAAACAAACAAAAAAATCCAACATCGGACACACTTAGCTTGATAAAGCTAGCTCCTAATAATGGCTCACTCACAGGAGTCCTCAGTCACAATTAAAAAATAAATAAATTAGTGGCTAAATGGGAATTGCATGGAATTGTTTTGGGTTTTTTTTTTTTTACATCCTGGTACCGATCGCTACTTGTGGTGACTAAATAGGCTTGGACCGACAGCAATCATCTTCAAAGAGATAGCAATTATTTGCATATCTCACAATCTAATTTATAAATGTAGACAAATTGCCAACATTTTGCTGTCATTCTGAATTAGTCTTTATCAATGAGGACAACCTAAGGGCACTCAACTCAACATTTATGGCAGGTTTTGCTGACAGTGTCATCAAATGAGACAGCTTTATCTTTTTGATAAAACAGATATTGGCAAACTTTCAATTCGAGGACATCATTTGCAGTTGAAAAAGGTTACAAATCTCATTATATGTTATTGCAATACTTACCATACTGAAAAATGTCAAAATATTGTGATCACATTGTATTTTGTGGTGGCTGGTGTGTCCCACCTCTGATGTTAACATACTGGTTTTTCCTGGAGTTTTAAGAGTGGCAAGCAACAAAGTAAAATAGTCTCAAATAAGACCATTTTATTTTATTTTTTTTACTGTGTTATGAATTCAGCACACACCTTTTCTCTGCAGCATTCCACTTTGACCTCTCCTTAAAAGCCCAAACCATGTTTTGAACTGTTTACTTCAGACAGCACATGACAGGAAATGAGCTTTGGTCAGCAAGATTGATCTAGAGCAGGGGTGTCAAACTCAAATACACAGTGGGCCAAAATTCAAAACTGGAACAAAGTCACGGGCTAACATTAATATTTATTGAAAAAAAAAATCTTCCTCCAGATATAAGAATGAATCTTTTCTTATGGACTCAAACAAGTTTTACTGAAAAACTGAATATGGAACAAGCAAAGCTTAATACTAAACAATATATATATTAGCTGTATAATACCAGTAGGCCAGCTCTAATAGTAATTTGGCCCGCGGGCCAGAGTTTGACACCTATGATCTAGAGGATGTAAAAGTCATAAGAAGGTTTTCAGAGGTAGACATCTGGAAAAATGATTAATAGTTACCTGCCTGATCACCACCTGTCCTCCCTCTTTTGTGCCTGGATCAGACACAGGGGTATACCCTGACATTCCC